ACCTCTCACGCAAGATTTTGCACTTGTTAAGTTCCCGTTGATCGGCCGCGTATTGTCCGCCCCGGCAGCGGGTGGCTCTTTACGGTTTTGGTCGCCATTCCTTTCGCATGAGTCCGCACCAGTTAGGGGCCCCTAGGGCCCTAGACCCGCCACGAACTGTCCGCGCCAGCAGCGCGTGGCCCTTCGGTTTGCGCCACAATTTTGTTGCAGGTAGCGCGCCCGCTCGACAGCCCCCTGCCGGTTAGCCGCAGTTTGGGCGCCCGCCACCCAGCCCCGCTCGCATGAGGCCGCGGGACGGATCGCAGGTGGCCGCAGCGCTACAATGCACCTGCCACCCGCTGCCAGCTCCCGCTGGCGCCAGGGCGCCCGGGCTGCCGCCCCGCCTACAGGGACCCCCATGCAAGCGGGGCGTTCCTCCTCCCTGCCCTCCTCCTCCCCGCCCCCCCTTTGCCAAGAAGAAGGAGGACGATCAGTATTGCAGGCCCAGCATGAGCAGGCTGACGGTGTACAGGCGGGAGGTGAAGTTTCTCGGCAGGTCGAAGGACCCAGAGTGAGGAGTGAGGGAGGCCTGTGCACGTCGGTCTTGTCTGAGGCCGTTTTTTGTCTATAAGTGAGGGGAGGGGATCTGAGGTTTGCTCCAGCCGTGTCCTGCCGAGCGTGTCTGACCTCCCCCCGAATTTAGCCCGTAGTCAAAGGCTGGCCGAGTTAGTCGCGAGAGGATTCTTGTCCCCTGCTCCTCCTCCCTCTGAGCCTCCCCCTCGTCCTCCTGGATTGCGACCGATTCGTGGCCTGTCGGATTCGTTCGTGCCGATGCCGAGGCGATCTTCCCGAGGTCCTCGTGCGCGGCCGCCTGGGTAATTTGGTATCTGTAGGGGTGGTGCCCATCACCCCCCTAGGTGGCATCCCCCAGCCGAAGGGCGGGTCGAGGGCCTCAGGTGGTGTCCCCACCAGCAGCGCCTGCTGGTGAGGGAAGTTGCGGCACTGCCGCCACTCAGGTGCTAATTGTTTGTTTTCACGTCGAGGCCCGACCATCGACTGCACCCGAAAGTTCTTGCTTGCTTGCCCCCCCTTTGCCTTGTCCCCCCTTCCCTCCGCGCGCCGCCAGGGCGCTCGCGTTCCTGCCGCAGCTGGCAGCTTCCCCCATGTGACAGTGCTCCTGGGCTTGGTCTTGCCGCTTGCACCCACCTCACGGACCCAGCATTTTGCTGGTGGCAGCCTGACTGAAACCCAGATTGCCCGCGGACTTGCCGTACCAACCCAGCCACCCAAATGGGCGACCTCACGGCGCTTTTCCTGACATGCAAGTGCCTGCACGCTGGCCAACTCGCTTTTGGGTGCCCCCGTTGAGTTTTATCGCTGGCGCAGCCATTCTGCGTCGCCGCCGACGAAAAACATATGTTAGTGCCCTCATGGTCGTCGTCCTCCTCCGAATTTGCGGGCCCGTGCGGGGCCATCCCCGTCCCGCTGCGCAGCACGGATCGGGTCCGATGCATCCGGGACCGCGCCCGGATCTCAGGGTCGTCCATCCCCCTGGGATCCGACGTAGCGAAAAAAAACGCTTCAGTTCGACAAGTCACAAACGGAGCTTTCAAGACCCAACAGGCCCGCGCCATTTTTTCGAGCCTGATCGACCTGTGGGGGCGACCGGCGACCGAAGTTTTCGGGTGAGACCGACCGCCGCGGAAAAATGGAAACGCCAGGATATCAGGGTTGTTCGGGGGCGGCAGAGGACGGGGGGGGGGGACTGGGGGGGGATCTCATGGTGGCGCCTGTTCTTGTTTTGTGACGTCCCTTGGCCCCCCCTGGGCCGCGCGCGTGCCGCCGCCCATTACTTGCGCCCCCGCCTCTTGGACGCCCCCCTCTTGGACTCCCCCGGTGTGCCCATCCTCCCCATACACCCGATGTCTTGGTTTTGTCCGCGCAGGGTCCTTGCGAATCCCCACCCCTCTCTCACCGGGCGCGTTCCACTACCCGCAAAGTGCCTACTTGCAGACGTCATGGGGGGAAATTATCCCGGCAAAGCATCCTAACAGCCTAACAGCGATGTGTAGGAGCATATCTGGAAGCATTCCCCTTCAGATTCAGATGAGAATCCAGTTGTAGAATTCTTTACGCTTCGCGTATCCCCACCAGCCCATCTCACAGCAGCAACTCTCGCGAAGCATGCCGACAGTCGTGTTTTTCAGGCGTGTGTCCGCTTGGCCCCGCATATCTCCCCTGTTCCTCCTTCCTCCCGCCTCCTTGTACATCCTCCTTGTGAGGGGAGCGGGAGAAGGACGAGGCGGAGGAGGAGGGAGAGAATTTGAGTCGTTTGGGGTTTCTCGTCCTGGTGTGAGTCGTTCGGGCTTCTTCTGGTGTGAGTCGTTCGGGCTCTTCGTGGTGTGAGTCGTCCTGGTGTGAGTCGTTCGGGCTTCTCGTGGTGTGAGTTGTTCGGGCCCCTCATCCTGGTGTGAGTCGTTCGGGCCCCTCCTCCTGGTGTGACTCGTTCGGGCTCCTCGTGTTGTGAGTCGTTCGGGGCCCGCGTCGTGGTGTGAGTCGTTCGGGCTCCTCGTGGTGTGAGTCGTTCGGGCGCCTCGTCCTGGTGTGAGTCGTTCGGGCCCCTCCTTGTGGTGTGAGTCGTTCGGGCTCTTCGTGGTGTGAGTCGTTCGGGCCCCTCGTCCTGGTGTGAGTCGTTCGGGCTCCTCGTGGGGCCTCTTGGGGGCCTCTTGGAGCCTCGTGGGGCCTCTTGGGGGCCTCTTGGGGGCCTCTTGGGGGCCTCTTGGGGGCCTCTTGGGGCCTCGTGGGGCCTCTTGGGGGCCTCTTGGGGGCCTCTTGGGGGCCTCTTGGGGCCTCGTGGGGCCTCTTGGGGGCCTCTTGGGGGCCTCTTGGGGCCGCTTGGGGGCCTCTGGGGGGCCTCTTGGAGGCCTCTTGGGAGCCTCCTGGGGGCCTCTTGGGGCCATCTTGGGGCCTCTTGCGACCTCCGCAGAAGCGCAAAGGAGAGCTGCCCCCTGAGAAGGACAAAATGAGCCCAAAACCTTCGTAAAATCAATGATTTTGCTATGAGGGAAGATGAGCGCGGCCCCCTCAGAAGGCCAAAATGGGGCCAAAACCATAGTAAAATCAATGATTTCTGCTTCAAAGACAAGCTGAGGCGCCAAACTCCCCCCCCTCTCCGGGGCCAGAATCCTCGTGAGGGTCGTCGTTTTTTGGCCCTCCCAGGAGTCGAAAAAGACCCCCTGGCGACGCCCCGGAATCCCTGTCCAGGCCCAGGGGGAGGGGGGAGGGGGAGGGGTAAACCCCTCCCCGAAGGGGAAGAAGTGGGGTTGAGGACAGAGAGAGCTCCTTAAACCACTCACGCCCAAAGGGCTGGTGGGATTCTGCTGCATTCGCGATGACAGTCGCAGTGGCAACGGCAGTCGCAGTCACAGCCTCAGCCTCAGCCTGCCCCAGCCTCAGCCTCAGCCTGCCTCAGCCTCAGCCTGCCTCAGCCTCAGCCTCAGCCTGCTTCAGCCTCAGCCTCAGTCTGCCTTCAGCCTCGGCCTCAGCCTCAGCCTGCCTCAGCCTCAGCCTGCATCAGCCTCAGCCTCAGCCTCAGCCTGCCTCAGCATCAGCCTGCCTCAGCCTCAGCCTCAGCCTGCCTCAGCCTCAGCCTCAGTCTGCTTCAGCCTCAGCCTCAGTCTGCCTTCAGCCTCGGCCTCAGCCTCAGCCTGCCTCAGCCTCAGCCTGCCTCGGCCGCAGCATCAGCCTGCCGCAGCATTCAAAATGTGGCCCAGGAATGAAGTTCTGGGAGCTAGAACAACACGAGGTGGCCTACAGTTGGCTCCGGGCATTCCAAATCATGCCCAGGAATGAAGTTCTGGGAACTTGAAGAGCACGAAGTGGCCTACAGTTGGTTCCGGGCAGTCAAAATGTGGCCCGGGAGTGGAGTTCTGGGAAGTCGAAGAGCACGAAGTGGCCTACAGTTGGCTCCGGGCATCCAAAATGCGGCCCGGGAATGGAGTTTTGGGAACTCGAAGACCACGAAATGGCCTACAGTTGGCTCCGGGCATCCAAAATGTATGCCGGGAATGGAGTTCTGGGAAGTCGAAGAGCACGAAGTGGCTTACAGTTGGCTCCGGGCATCCGAATTGCACGCCGGGAATGGAGTTCTAGCAGCGCCAAGAGCGATTTTGCGAGGATGTCCTAAGTGTTTTGGGTTTCGACGGCAGCCGCGCCGGGTCCCGCCCCGGGTCCCGCCCCGACCCCCCTGAGGAGTCATGATGCTCTCTTTTGACCCCACTAGAAACCTATCAGTCTTCGCTGTTAAATAAAAGCGTGTTCGCCTCGATGTAATGGGTCGTACATTCCGTGCGGCGGAGCCAGGCCATTTGCGAATTGCCGCTTTGCGAGTCGTGGAGCGCGCTCGTCAGCTCCCGCCTGCAGGGCCGCCCTTGCTTCGTGACCTCCTACGGCGAGGGTTTCGGTGGGGCCCTGCGACCCCTTCGCCTCGTTCCTGCCGTGCCGCGCCGCGGCCGCCGCCGCGCAGGTCCGCCGGCCCTCGCCGGGCCCCCCGCCGCCGCGGAAGGCGGCGGAGCCGTCGGGGGCGCCGCCCCGCGGGCCGCCGCCGATGAGGTCCTCCACGCTGGCGGGGGGGAGGAGCTCAGAGGAAGAAAGGTCGGCTGGGAACGAGGGGGGGAAGCGAGAAGGGGCGGGCGTTTTCAGAAGGTTCGGAAACCCTTCACGCCTTACGAGGAGTGTTCTAAACCGTTCCCGAAGACGCAGAAAAACCTTTCAGAAGGTCTGCCGCCTTCTGAAAAGTCCTGCCGCCTTCGGAAAAGGTTTCCTCCTTCTCATTTCCCCCCTTCGTTCGCCGCCAAAAAAACTACCCATACCGATGCCGCTGCCCTTGCGTCGTTTTCCCCTCTGGTGGGCCTTTTGGGAGGCCCTCGTCGCCACGGGCGGATTCGCTTCGGAGTCTTGGTTAGGACGCATGAGTGGAGAGGTCCGAAGGGTAGTGGCATCGGTACCATTTTCAGAACCCCATGAAAGGCGGGCGAAGCAATGCTAGTTTACTAAAACACTTCTCAATGCCCCGAAGTGGAGTGCGGTCTGAGGGTCGGGGGCGGGGTGTCTGAGTCTGTGAAAACCGCAGCCCTTAAATGTCACAGCAATGCTGCGTTTAAAGGCTCACGTGTGCGAGTTATCTATAAACGCTCGTTTTTTGTTGGGCTCAAGTATTTTGGGGCAGCCTGCGGCTGACCGGAGGCGCAGGCGCCACGTTCGCTAAAGCCTACTTGCTGGCAGGCCTCCTTGCCCTCTTGGGCATCTCGGATCATTTCGGCGGCAGCCGGGACGACAGCGAGGAGGAGGCCCCGGAGCAGCCCAGCAGCGGGGCTGCTCACGAGGAGTTCGAGTTCGCCTGGAGCGAGGAAGCGCGCCGCAGAGAAGGGAACGAGAGCTTGGAATATGGTTCCCTGGTCTCGCTGGAACAGGGTCTATGCCAAGACTGGCTTGCACGGGACTTCTGGCGTGGTCATGCTACTGGTGGCCAGAGTCCCCGGTAAGGGGCAGTCCTGGACGGCGGTCGACCCGACAGGGCGCGGGCAGATCATCGATCTTCGCGACAAGCAAACGCACGGCACCAAACCTGCAAATGGATTCCAATGGAGTGATCACCCGGTGTTCACCGAGTTCCGGAAGGAGAAGAGCATCGCGGGTTTGGACAAGTTGATCGCGCGGGCCACTATGGATAAAACGTCGAGTTCATTAACACTTGCGTTTCCGAAAGCGCCTCTTGGGGAAAAAAGTGTGTAAAAAACCGCTGCGGCAAAAGCAACTTCGCGACCTAGCTCTGCGGTGGTGCCTTCACCACGGGAGTCTGGGCATTCACCTGGGCGCACTACGGCTTCGTGGCTGGTCTCACCTTCGTGGGCTGAAGAGTTGGACGGAAGCTTGGCGTCTTGTCGTGGCCTTCTTGGGCCTCTCAGAGAGGCCGACTGGCTTTTCGGGATGTGGGAGGAGCTTGAGGATCTGAGTTCATACTGCTGTGCGTCGCGGGTTTCCTCGCGGCTTGCTGTGCACTTTCCTTCGCTCGGTTGGGCCGCATCCTGGGCGTGGACAGTTCAGGGTCCGACTCGGACTCGGACACGGAGCAGTTTCGTGGCACTGAAGTGGCAGACGTTGGTGACGAACCGGGCTCCGCAGCTCTGATGGCGGCGATCCTCAGGAATCAGCAGCCCTTGCAGGAGAGCGTCGCGCAGTCGCTGGCTGGTGGGCTCGGGGCTTCGGGCCAGCCTGACGCCCCGCAGGACGCGCCGAGGAGGTGGGCCAGGCGGCGGACGCTCAGCCCGCGCCGGCGGGCTTCGCGGCACCAGCTACCATGACGCAGGACGACAACGCGCATATCGACGAGGTCTTGCGGAAGCTAAGCGAGCGCGAGGCCATTGTCCGCGAGGGTGCTGGGCCGCCGGAAGGCGCTGGGGCGAGGACTTCGCCCCCCCCCCCCCCCCCCCCCCCCCCCTCAGGGCGTGGGTCAAGGGGGCCCGCGCCATCGTGCCGGCGCTGCTGGCGCGGCTGCTTCGGACATGGACTTGCAGACTTCTATCGTGACGAGCGAGAGCAGGAACCCAAAGAAGGAGGAGCTTCTCGAGACCCTGGAGCAGCTCAAGAGCGACATGGCGCAGAGGGCGGGCGGCATTCGCCCGCGGGCGGCGCCGACAGCCCATCCGCTCTGCCAAGATCGAGCTCGAGGAGCGGGCGCGCAGCCAGGGCCATTCGCGCTCCGCGATCGCCATGGAGGTTTTCATCTTGGGCTCGATCCTGGGTCGGATGCTCTTCAGCGGCCAGCATTATGGCATGATGTATTCTCAGGCTGGGGAACTGCGCTGCCATCGTCTTGGCGCGATTTGGAAAGCGCGCGAGAACGTCCGCTGCCGCGCGGATTGGGAGAGACCCAAATCACAGGATTGCTGGAAGCGGAGATCGAAGGTGGATTGGATTCTGGCTGATCAAAATATGAAGATCGATGGTAATTTGCCCGCTGAAGACATTTGCCGACGCAGAGGTCCCAGAGTAGTTGCGCCGTGCCGCCTTGCAGAAACCCTTTGGGACATGCGCGAGAGTGACGGTGCGCCGGAGATTCCGCGGCGGTCTCTGGCGAGGTAGGTGCCTCGGGCTCCATGCCGCGCAAGGGTGTTAGTTGGCTGATGTTCCTCGTGTACTTGGCCTTGCACTGCTCCATCTTGATCGGCGGGTTCATCGACTCCGCGAGTGGGCTCAGCGTGGTTTTCGGGCGCTTCGACGGGCGCCCTGCGCCACTGCATTTGGCGGGCCGGGTCGCCCTGGTCGGAGCGCGCAGCGCCGTGCGCGCCGCGTCGTCTCCGTCAGGGGGTGCTCGCGACCACCCTCGGGGAACGCGGTCTTTCGCGACGGCTTCCTTCGCCCCCGACCCCGTTCGGCCGCCGCCCGAGCTTGGCCAGTCTGAGGCCAGATGAGCCGAGGAGAACGCGGCGTCGGGCACGCGAGGCGGCGTTGGTCTTCCGCCACTTGTCTACCGGCGCTTCTCCCCCGCGGACTACGGGGCCGCGAGCGGGGCCGGCGAGTGTAGATTGATTGGTCCAGGGTCACGCCGCTGCAGAAGAGGATTGTGGATGCCCCTTGGCGGGGCCCCGACGGGCGGCGGCCAGGCGAGCTCATCCGCCGCGCGCGCCCCCGAGGACGGGCGCAGGGGAGGCAGCGAGAAGTCGCCCCCCTTCAGAGAGGGGGGCCCCCAGTGACCAGGGGGGCCACGTGCCCGATGGCGGCGGATTAGGTTGCGGCGCCCGCGCCCGGGGCAACGCCGCCCCATGCCCCTCCTTCAGGACCGGGTGGGCCGGGGCAAGTTCGACCCGAATTGGATGGAGGTTGCGACCCGCTGCGAGCCCTTTTTGAGGGCGCGGCAGAGCGGGGTGCCGAAGTTCGCGGCGCGGGCGAGCTCGACGGTCAAGGTCCTCGCGTTTGTCAGACAGGTCGATGGGGGGTCCAGGCGGCGAGCCGATCGTTTGTTCGCCCCGGCTGGTCTGGGGCTGCCGCCGGGTGAACAGCTTCCCCAAGCCCCCGCCTAGGGTTCCGCCAGGGTCTCCGGGGTCCTGGGGCTGGCGAAGCTGGGCGACGCGCCTCTGCAAGGGGGGGGGGTGCTCGACGACGCAAGGGGGCATGCCAGACAGGTGTCACATTCTCGAGAACCCCGCGCAGATGGCGGAGATTTTCGTTCTTGGCCAGGTCGAGCCGTTCGAGTTTCTGAGATGCGCGAAGAGCCGAGGCGTCGACGTCGGAGACCTTCCTGGTGGCGTGACTGGTCTCGGCCTGAAGGTAAACAGCATGGGATTTTTATGGGCAATATATTGCATACATGTTTGGTCGAGACCTTTGATGCTATCTCGGGCTATTCGAAGTCAGGGATCTCCTACGGCTCGGCGGTTCTGTCCTTCAGCCTTTTTGTTCCGAGATGCTTTTCGCGCTGTGCATCGGCGACTTCATCGCTGTCTATCTTCGCCCGAAGGACGAGAGGAACGGACTGGATTCGAGGGGGGCCATGCGGTCGGCCCCCCTGAAGCGGGATATCCCGATGCACAGGGAGGCCATGGGGGAGGGCGCGCAGAAGGGGCTAGGCCTGGGCCTGGTGAGCGAGCCGTGCGTCCCACGGCCGTGCCAGGAGAAGCTGAGGGCCCTCGTCTCGCGCGCCGAAAGTCTGGCACCACGTGGCCTCGCTCTTAGGCCTTTACCCGTGGATCATGCTCTTGAACAGACCAGCTCTCTCAACGCCGGACAAGATCTTCAAGTGGCTCCTTTCGTTCGACCAGGCCGATGAGGCGAAGGCCCAGGTGATCTGGGACACCGTGCGGAGCGAGCCCATGGCGACGGCGAACCTTTTTTCTGCGTTTCTTTTGTGCTCGAGGGCCATCTGGAAGCTCCGTGGTGGGGCAAGGTCTACGCGACGGACGCGGCGAGCGAGGTTTCGGGCCCCGTCATCGCGGACATGGGCATGGCCGAGGCTCGTGACTCGGCTGGCCGGAGGTGGATCGCCTCGATGGACGAGGCGTGCGCGGACATCGAGAGGGCCATGGCGGCCGAGGAGGAGGGGGGGGTTCAGGACCAGGGCGAGCATGCAAGGGCCGAGCAAAAGGATTTCCCAGAGCACTTCTCTGGGGGCGAGAACCTCTCGAACGCAATCCAGGAGGTGCGAGGCTCTAGGACAGACCCGCGGGGCATCGAGAGGGGCCCGTCCCAGGACGTCCTGCAGCCCGTGGACCTCGCCAAGGTCGTGAGCAGTTCAGGTTATGGTGGCACTTGGCGTTTTACCTAGCGCCGCCATGCGCTACTTTCTCCCAGGACAGGAGGCCGAGATTGAAATCCCGGGCAGGGCGTGTTCTACCGATGCTGGCAGTCCAAGGGGGGCCGCTACCGGTTCGAACCCCGCCATCTCCCCCTCGCCGCTGGCATGCGATTCCTGCTCTTCGGGGCAGCGGGACAGTGGCGGGGACAGTGGGGCACTGGTGGGGACAGCGGTACACTGGTGGGGGCGGTGGCGGGGGGGGCAGCGGTGAGGGCGGCGGTGAGGACGGCGGCGGGACAATGGGACAGCGGCACGGTGGGGAGAGCGGCGCGGACATTGGAGGGCGGCGGGGGCAGTGGGGACAGTGGGACAATACAGCGGCATAGTGGTGGGGGCAGTGGGGGCGGTGGGGCTGGGGCAGCGCTTGGGACAGTGGTGGGGGCAGTGGGGCAGTGGTGGGGACAGCGCGGGCACTGGGGAGAGCCAGACCACCAGACCATAGCGGCGGGGACAGTGGGGGCAGTGAGACATTGGCGGGGGCATTTGCGGGGGCAGTGGGAACAATTGTGAGAACAGTGGGGGAAGCGGGATCGTGGTGGGGGCCGTGGTGGTGGGGACAGTGGTGCGGGGACAGTGTGGTGAGGAAAGTGGTGATCGTGGGACAGTGGTGGGGGCGGTAGTGGTGGGGGGAGCGGCGTGGGCGGTGGTGAGGGCGACTGTGGGGCAATGGGACAGCGGTGGGGACAGTGGTGGCGACAGTGGGGACAGCGGTGGGAAGAGTGGGGCAGCTCAGTGGGATTGCGGCAGGGACAGTGGGCGCAGTGGGACAATGGTGGGGACAGCGGGGACAGTGGGACTTTGGTGGGGACAGTGGGGGCAGTGGGATCATGGTGGGAACAGTGGTGGAGGCAGCGGAGACAGTGCGACAGTGGTGGGGGCACTGGTGGCACTGGTATGGACAGTGGGGACATTGGTGGGAACAGTGGGGGCAATGGTGGTGGGGACGGCTGCGCTGGGGGTCAGCGGGTGAAGGCAGCGGTGGGACGGCGGTGGGGGCCAGGGAGTCGTTTGCCAGCGGTTTGGGGAGGGGGGGGGGGGGGGGGGGGGGGCGAATCGGCGGAGACTATCCTTGGTTTTCTGGGGGGGGGGTCGAACCAGCAGCGACGACCCCCCCCCCGTTTTCCAGAAGTGGGAGGGAGGGGTTTAGGGGGGAGGGGGCTCTGCCGGAAAAAGGCGGGGGGGGGGGGGGGATTCGGGCAGGAGGGGGGGATTTTCGGAGAGGGGGGGGGCGCGGGCTCCAGAGGAATAGGGGGGGAATTATCCACGCTAAAGCGGCGGTGGATAGAGGGCTTCGCGGAGTTGGCGGCCCCGGGCCGGCGCTGTTCGGGTCGAGCGGGCAGGTGCTCCGCGACGAAGCCCCCGCGCCATGAGCTGAGAGGCCGGAACGGGAACGCGGAGTTCTGGGCGAAGATCGCTTGCCCGTGCCCGAAGTACTTCAGCCTCCAGTACGCGACGGTGGCCGCTCCGCTCTACAAGCGCAGCCTAGAGGAAGCCTCGACCGCGGGTTTGCGGCGGGCGGTGTCCCAGCAGAGTCGATCAGCTCCACTTCGGGCCGCGCCGTCAGCGATCGGGTCGGCCTTCGCCCCAGTGGAGAGGTAGATCCCCCTGTTCAGCGGGAGGTGGGACAGGCTCGAGCACAACAACCTTCTGGGGCTGAGGGGCGCGGGCATGGTCGCGAGGCATTCGGGCAGGACGTCCAGAGCATGCCGAGTGCTGATCTACACGGGCCCCCTCGTCGCTCTCGGAGCCTCGTCGAAGGGTCGTTCGAAACGCACGCAAGATCCTGAGGTTATGCGGGAAGGGCGCCGCCATCGCGCTGACCACATACATCAAGTTCCACTTCAAGTGGGCGCCGAGCGAGTTCAACCAAGCCGACGGGCCGTCGAGAGGGAAACCGATTGGAGTCGACCTGAAGACTTCACAAGCGCACGTGGACAGGATGATTCCTCGCCCCTTGCCCTCCGTCCCCAGGGCGGTAAAACATCCCCAGGCGCTTCGACAACATTGGTGATGTGGTTGCTTGTACTTCACGGGCTGGGACTTCTCCCGATGGTGGCAGGCGTGGGTGAAGAGTTTGGTCTGGGAAGAAAATCGGACGCCGGTCTCGAGCTCCGTTTGGACCGGCCATGCGTCAATGCCACCGGGAGGAGAGCCATTTTGAACAACAGACTGATCGCACATGCAGGTGATAATGCTACAGGCCGCAAGTGCGAGAGCGAGGGGCCCGCCTTCTTGATGGATGTGCAGCGCTCAGGAACCACGTTCGGAACGGTAAGTCAGAGGGCTTTCGTTTTTGATGATCACCAAGGACGATTCCCAATCGCACGCTGCGCTCTTCAGGCCTGGCCGAGGTTCCAGCATATGGAGCGCGCCCCAGTTCCACAGGAGGCTATCGCTTGCGCCATCCTGACCCTCATCGAGAAAGTCCTGGCGGTGGAGACCATCGCGGTCCACGTCTCTTTTGACGGGTGGCTTCGCGAGCAGGACTGGTCCCAGCTGCGCTTTGTGCGCTGCGCGCGTGACCAGCGCGGCGGCTTCTCTCTTCTGCTGGGAGACAGGCACCGAGGTGAGCGAGTGAAAATAGGGTCGGGGCAATGAGTTGTCCTCGAGATGAGTTTGACGAAAAGCGCTTGTGAGAGACTCCTTCGAGGGCTGGATTCTGAAGATTTGGTTTTTCCGGTTTCGACAGCATCTTACCGCCGTGCGCGGTGGGAGGCTTTGCAGGATTAAACATTCGAGTTCGTTGGCCCTCCCCGCGGGCTACGCCATGCCGGCGCCTCCCACTTCCTTGAGGGAGACGGCAGCGTGGAGGTGGCTCGTAGGCGTGGCCGCTGGCAGTCCGCCAATTCGCTGCAACGGTATACCCAGGGCCACGTTTTGATTGAGCATAGGTGCAAACTTCCGCTCGAGATTTTACGTCGGGGCAGATCTTTTGGCTTGCGCCGGCCAGCGCCTGAATAACCGCGCTTCTGTCGTCCCCCGTGGCCTCTCGTCGAGTCTGCCACGGTCTGATTCGCCAATGGAAGATCTGTGCATCTAACGAGTTTCCCTCGGGGCCCCCCGCCTTTTAAAAAGATTGTCGAAGAGCCGATGTGGGCCGAACCCAGTTTTCCCAAGAAAGATCGTGCCCGGGCCCGACGTAGGCTCGCTGGTGATTGATTTGTTTGGTTTCAAGGTCGGCGCTTCGCCAGTACAGCCTTACTGGTGTTCGTTGTTCGGTATGTGCCCATGGTGCTCGCTGGCAGCGTGGTGTATTGGAGTTGCAAGGTCATGCGCCGAGCTCTGATTGTAATTCACGCGTTTTGGGTAAGGATCGAGGCAAACTGCCTTCCGCTTGTGCTGAAAACAAGAACTATGGTTGCCTGCAACGTCGTCCGTCTGGCCCCCTTCCTCTTTCCTCTGCTCCCCTCCTGCGCTGAAGTGTTAGTTCGCTAAACGCAATGTTCAATGCCCCGAGGCGGAGTGCGGTCTGAGGGTAGGAGGGGGGGCGTCTGACTTTGTGAGAACCCAAGCCCTTACATGTCACAGCAACGCTGAGTTTAAGGGTTCAGGTGTGCGAACTATTTGTAAACGCTCGTAGTTGGCCTGGGGCCCCCCGCTCTAATGCCCCACCCTCTCTGGATTTCAATGGAGTATGTGCCCTCGGCGCTCGCTGGCAGCGTGGTGCAATGGAGTGGCTGGGTCATGCGCCGAACTCCGATTGTAATTCACGCGTGCTGGGTCAAGATCGAGGCAGGTTGCCTCCCGCCTTGCGCTGAAAACGCAAACATCTGGCTGTCTGCTCGTCGTCCGTCTGGCCCTCTCCCTCTTTCCTTTGTTCCCCTCCTGCACCGAAACGTATGTTGTCATGCTTCGTTGGAAGGTTCGCATGGCAAACATGTTCGGCCGAGCTGACAAATCTGCTCGATTCTGTTTTGGGGCAGCGTCAGTTCAAGATCGATTCAAGGTCGATTCAAGTCGACGGACGTTCGACGCAGCATCGATAAATAACTAAGTAGAGCGGGTGGCCTTTTGGATGGTTCCCAGACAGAGCATTGAAAGGATGGGTCGTCCTGTGATACGATAGGGTCGTTCGTATGATAAGGCGGGCTGCTCTGACGACAAGTGCTCTTACGGCAGCGGCTCTTAAGGGCCAGCCCGATTGTAAGAACAGCCGGGTGCTTCGTCGCAAGAACGGCGCGGCAATCTCGTCCGAACGGCGTGATTCCCATCTTGCACAGGCGAAGCGCGCCGATCGTTTGAATCGCCCGAGCGGGGTGAGTTCATCGGCGATCGACGTCCGATCCGTGCCCAGATCCCCCCACGATGGGATGCACAGGCTCGCTCATCAGCCACTGGAGTGAGGAGGTGAAACGATACTCCTTTGAGCTTCGGGTGTTGGCACTCGCGCCGTAGCCCAATACTCGTGGCGCAAGGTTTTTCGCCAGGTTCGGTCTTCGGGGGGCCCTCGCCTGGCCCGCGGACCGTCAAAACACGGGCCGGGAGGACATGTCGGCCCCAGGGCATGGGTCGAGACCTCCCGAGGTCCATGTCGCGAGCAAAATCATGCGTCGCTGGTCTGGGTCATCTTCATCATCAGGGGTCCGATGAGGGAACTGCTCGACCAAGAGCCGCATCCCCGAGCATCCAGCACTCTCCCCTGACAGCTGAAATCTGGCTGCTCGTGCAGCATGTGCACGGGTGTGTGTAGTGGTAGTAGTGTTGGGTGGTACGTGGGAGTCCGACGCAAGGGGAGAGCATCGAGCATTGGTGTGTATGTTGCGCTTGCGCCGAATGCGTAGTATCATGGGGAGACGGGGCAGGTGGAAACATGATAACGTATGAGAGGATGGTCCCAAGAGACGCTCGCTAGGGCAGGAAGCAATCAGTGTTCTGCGTCCCTCTGGCGGGCGGATGCTTCCACGGTTGTCCTTTGGTTGTCTTGCGGTTGATTGTTGGTTGTTCCGATGGTTGTCCCGATGGTGCTCTCGATCGTTGTCCCGATGTTTTCCCCGATGGTTGTTCTGATGATTGTCTTGTGGTTGTCCTGATCGGTTCTTTGTCATGCGACTGTTTTGCTGTAATTTTGCCTTGTGGTTGTACCGTGCTGTTCCCGATAGATGTTCCGATGTTTGCTGAATTGTTGTCCCGATGGTTGTGCCGATGATTGTGTCGATGGTTGCTCGCTTGTTGTCCACATGGTTGTCCCGATGTTTGTTCCGATACTTGTCCCGATGTTTGTCGTGATGATTGTTCCGATGGTTGTTTGTCCTGCGGTTGTCCCGTGGTTGTTTGCCCTGTGATTGTCCCGTGTCGACTCGTGTGGACGTTGCACATTGTCGGCGCTCCGTGCGGTGGCAGGCGGCTCGATTGCAGGGCGAAAGCCGAACTTGTCTTGGGGAAGTTGTCGAACCGCCCGGGAGCTCGAAACCAGAACATACCGAGTCGGAGGTCAGGGTCCATTTCGTCTCTTACTCCTGCTGCTGTTCGTACTCCTCTTCAGTGCCTCCTGCTCCCCGTCCTTCCCAATTTGCTGATGCTCCCCTCACTCTTGTTCACAACCACCCTGTGGCGGTTGGACAGCGCGCCGCGTCACCTCACCTCACTCCCTCTTCTCTCCTCCCATCCTTGCCTTTGCCCTCCGCATGTCCAATACTCACGCATGTCGTGGCCTCCTAGGGAGCTTCACCGAGGGCCCCAGTAGCAGGGTTCGCATGCCTCTCCCCGCCTACCACGCGTCCAATTCGGCACACCCCATGACACGTTTCATGGTCCTATAGGGAGCTCCAGCGAATGCCTCAGAGGCAGGGTTTGCATGCGCCTTCCCGCCCACCGTACGTCCATCTTGGCACACCCTTCATACGGTACGTGGCCCCTATGAGGAGCTCCACCGAGGAGTTGCGTTACTCACAACTGCATCTGGTTGGGTCCTTCGCCAGGATCATTTGTCTCGAGGGTCGAGGGTTTAACCATTTGGGGGATCGAGGTTCGCGTTTCGAGGTTCGAGATTTGCAGATCAAATGTTTAAAGTTTTCCTGGGATCGAGGATCGCGTTCCTTTCGAGAATCGAGGCGTGTTGTTTCTCGAGGATCAAGTCCCGAGGATTGGAGAATTCTCGAGGATCGGCAGGTACAGAGATCCATCGACATGACTCTAGTGGAATCGATGGGTAGACAGCGAGGCCGATGGATGCGGACATCGCATTTGGATGTCGAGATCATCGGATAGAGAGATCACACGACACCGATCCGACGCCAATCGCAAACCGAACGTTGCACCCATCCCCCTCCCCCAGACCTCCTCCTTACCCGAAGGATGGTCTACGAGATATTGGGGTTGAAGCGGTCACCGAGGGGCATGGAGTCATCTTGAGGTCGCCATGGCTTCGTCGTGGCTTCATCGCGGGGTCAGTTTCGGTTTCTACTGGGTTCGTGCTGGAGTCATTTGCGGGTTGTCATGGGATCATCGTTGGGTCATTTGCGGCATCATAGGGTCAGTGGAGTCAAAGTGGGGTGGTTTGGGAGTCATTGTAAACGCTCCTCGCATCTCCACCAGCCCATCCCGCGACCAGTGTGTTGCTACTCTTTGCGCTGCTCGCGCTTCGGATGTCGGGCCATCTGTTTCGGTCTGGTCTTTCTTGCTGACCCCAGCTTGTGAAGCGGCTTCTCGATACCCGTCTCCTCCCCCTGCTTCCCTGCGCGCTGTTCATCGGCCTCCGCTCCCCTGCCATCGCAGGTTTCATCCTCCTCTTGTGCCCATGCTCCGTGGCGCGCCCGTGGGGAAATGAGAAGTAGAAGGCCTTCTCAGAGGGCCGCGGGGCTTAGACAGCTTAGAGAGAGAGAGGCTTAGGAGGTTTGGGGGAAGGCTCAGAAGGCGGCGAGGCTTAGCTGCGTCTTCGGGGACGGCTCAGAAAGCTTTCCAGAAGGCCCGAGACCCTCCGAGCCTTATGAGAAGGCCCGACCCTTCCAATTTTCCCCTCGGGCTCGCCGCCCACATGGCTCCCGTTTTCTCGTTTTCCGTCGCTGCCCCTGCCCACGTCGTCGCTTTTCGCCCCTTCCCCTCCCGCGCTCCTCTTGCTCCAGCTGTAAGTTCCCCTACCCCACCGCTGTGGCCACAGTACGTGGGGGGCAAGCGGGCTTGCGGACAACCCGCACACCCGACCCCGTGGATTGTTGCACAACGAGGGCCCCCATAGGTCTGGACCCCTACACCAACCTCCTCCTCCCCCTCCTCCTTCTTCCTCCTCCTCCCCCTCGAGAGGTGTCCTGGCGCTCTTCTGCCTCCCCCCGCCGAGGCTCTTCAGCGCCGCGCGCGCCTCCCCAGGACCGGTGTTTCAGCCCGACTCGTTCTTTGCTTGTCCCGGAGCACGGAGAGGGCCCCCCCAGAGCCCAAGATTTGCAGGCAACCTTTGGTGGGCAGTCTTGTAACGACGAACGGGGGTCCGCGCATGGGCGGCTGCTTCTCCTCAGGTCCGCAAAGCCTAGGAGGTCAAAGTCGGCATCGGCGCTGCCTGGCGCACTCTGGCGCAATCTGGCTCAATTCGTCGGAGGGAGGAGAAGCGATACCAACACCACCAGGGGGCCCACCTCCAGCGAGGAGGTCCACAATGCCTCCCCGAGCGGGAGACTTGGGATGTCTCGAGCGAGAGGGTGGGACCACACCACCAGGGAGACCCCCTTTGCCTCCGCGCATCTCCTCGCCCTGCTGGTGTTGGTGTCGCCTTGCCTTGTTCCTGATTCGGCTCAATCTGGCGCTTGCTCGGGGGATTGGTAGCCCTCAGTCCTCAGTCCCCCCCGCCCAGGGCCTTTCAGGAGTTGCCTCCTGCTGTCTGCCCTGTTCGGTTCGGGCCCTCTTCCCGCCCTGGCTCGGCCCGCTCGTGAGCGGCTTGGCGACCAGGCGGCCGCCGCAGCCGAGCTGGCCGAGTGGCGGCAGCTGGCGCTGCAGCAGCGCGAGGAGCGCTGCCAGAGCCTCCAGCGGGGGAGGGTGGCAGAAATTCGGAGTTTCGTGATCCTCCTCCTCCCCTCGGGCGTGGCCCGTCCCCCTGCGCGGCCTCGCTCCTCTCCCCCCCCCCTCCTTCGGCCGCTTCCTCTGTCCTGTCCCCTTCTCCTTGCTTGCACTGTGGCGCACTTCGCGACAACGGTGCCCCCTTTTGGTCAGCTCCTCGCTAGCGCAGTTACTCTGCCTAGCCGCTGACGCAAAAAGTCTTACTTCTCCCCCTCGCGTTGCGGGCAAATTCGTGTCGGTCGCCAGCTGGTTGTTTCCTGCCTTCGCTCTTCCCCCCCTTTTCTCCCTTCCCGCCAGCTTCCTCGCTTCACCCGAGAGGATCGGGCAAGACTTGTCCAGTGGTAGGATTAAGTTGGAGGCATCATATCTCACGGTATCGCCATTGTGTCCTGGTGCAGACAAGAAAACGATTCCCTTACCTCCTTCTCCTCGTCCTCCAAGTATTCGATCGTCTTGGTTGAAGTGCGATGCCTTGGTGTCGAGCGGTTTTGCCGGTGCCTGTCAGTAGGCGGGCCTCGAATACGGCACGACGTCCAGAGACTTGACGCAGCGGAGCAAGAACAGCGATTATCCCGGCAAAGCAACCTAACAGCGATGTGTATAAGCATATCTGGAAGCATTCCCCTTAAGATTCAGGTGAGAATCCAGTTGTAGAATTCTGCTGTTCTCGCAGTCGCAGTCGCAGTCGCAATGACAGTCGCAGTGGCAACGGCCTTAGGATCCAATGGAATCCTAAGGATTCCTAGGAATTCCTAAGGCATTCTTAGGCATCCGTAGGAATCCATAGGAATCCTTAGGAAACATTAGGAATCCTTAGGATCCCTGATTCCTAGGGATTCCTGGGGATTCCTAAGGATTCCGAGGGAATCCACAGGATTCCTGAGGATTCCTGAGGATGCTTAACTATGCCTACGGATTCCTAAGGATGCCTACGGATTCCTAAGGATTCCTAGGGATTCCTAAGGACTCCTATGGATTCCTACGAATACCTCAGCCTGCCTCAGTTTCAGCCTCAGCCTCAGCCTGCCTCGGCTTGCCTCAGCCTCAGCCTCAGCATGCCTCGGCTTCAGCCTCAGCCTGCCTCAGCCTCAGCCTCAGCCTGCGTCGGCCTCAGCCTGCGTCAGCCTCAGCCTCAGCCTGCCTCAGCCTCAGCCTGCCTCAGCCTCAGCCTCAGCCTCAGCCTCAGCCTGCCTCGGCCTGCCTCAGCCTCAGCATCAGCCTGCCTCGGCCTCAGCCTGCCTCGGCCTCAGCCTGCCTCAGCCTCCCCTCCTCCCCCCCCCCCGCCCCCCTTCCCCCCCACCCCATTCAGCCTCACCTTGTCTCAGCTTCGGCCTACTTCGGCCTCATCCTCAGCCTCAGCGTCAGTCTCAGCCTCAGCTTGTCTCGGCCTGAGCCTGCCTCGGCCTCAGCCTCAGCCTGCCTCAGCCTCAGCCTGCCTCAGCCTCAGCCTCAGCCTGTCTCAGCCTCAGGCCTCCTCAGCCTCAGCCTCAGCCTCAGCCTCAGCCTCAGCCTCAGCCTCAGCCTCAGCCTCAGCCTGCCTCAGCCTCAGCCTCAGCCTCAGCCTGCCTCAGTCAGCCTCAGCCTGCCTCAGCTTCAGCCTCAGCCTCAGCCTGCCTCGGCTTGCCTGCCTCAGCCTCAGCCTGCCTGCCTCAGCCTCAGCCTCAGCCTCAGCCTGCCTCAGCCTCAGCGTCAGCCTCAGCGTCAGCCTCTCAGCCTCAGCCTGCATCAGCCTCAGCCTCAGCCTCAGCCTCAGCCTCAGCCTGCCTCAGCCTCAGCTTCAGCCTGCCTCAGCCTCAGTCTCAGCCTGCCTCAGCCTCAGCCTGCCTCAGCCTCAGCCTCAGCCTGCGTCGGCCTCAGCCTGCGTCAGCCTCAGCCTCAGCCTGCCTCAGCCTCAGCCTGCCTCAGCCTCAGCCTCAGCCTGCCTCGGCGTGCCTCAGCCTCAGCCTCAGCCTGCCTCGGCCTCAGCGTGCCTCGGCCTCAGCCTGCCTCAGCTCGGGCATTCAAAATATGGCACAGGACTTGTGTTCAGGGAACACGAAGATCACGAAGTGGCCTACAGTTGGTTCCTGGCAATAAAAATATGGTACAGGAGTTGTGTTCTGGGAACACGAAGAACACGAAGTGGCCTACAGTTGGTTCTGGGAACACGAAGAACACGAAGTGGCCTACAGTTGGCTCCGGGCATTCAAAATGTGGCCTCGGAATGGTGTTCTGGGAACACGAAGAACACGAAGTGGCCAACAGTTGGCTCCGGGCATTTAAAATGTGGCCTAGGAATGGTGTTCTGGGAACACGGAGAACACGAAGTGGCCTACAGCTGGCTCCGGGCATTCAAAATGTGGCCTGGGAATGGTGTTCTGGGAACACGAAGAGTAGGAATCCACAGGAAACTATAGGAATCTATAGGAATCCTGGGAAGTCCCCGGGTTCCCCGGCGTCTCCCGGCACCCGCCCAGACCTTCCCTGGGGAGTCAAGATGCTCTCTTTTGAGCCCACTAGAAACCTATCAGTCTTCGCTGTGAGGTAAAAATATCATCTACCGCGCGAGAGGACCAGCCCGCGTGTTCATCGCCATGGCGGCAGCTCGCTACGGTGCGAATGTCATCCCGTCGGCGGGCGAAACGAGGTAGGAAACGGAGTCGCTCAAGAAGGAAATTATTCTCCTGTGGAGATACTGGCGAACTGCGAAATGGCGACGGTGGAGAGGTCGCGCCCTTACTTTCGAATGCGGGTCTTGCGCAAAGCAGAGGCATCACCACAGAAGCGGGTTGTTTACATGACCTTCTACAGTGACGCCCCTCTCGGGGTCCAGATGTCGGAGTTGCTTAAGAGGCCGGTGATATTGGAGGGCGGGGCGCACGTACCAAGCTTCGCTCCGACGCGGCCTGTAGATCGCGAGATCTGTTCATTGATACGGGAATGCTTGCTAGCCGAACTAATGTAATACAGTGTAAGGTTTGGGCAATTTGTGGCTGAAGCATCGTGGTTTCGAAACTTCCCGTAGAACCATGCGAGCCTGTTCGGAGATGTCTCGTTCGGTACCCAGCTATCCACAGGCTGAGTTGCCTACACCACCAGTCGTAGCTCTTCCGCTTCATGGAGTCTTCATGAGGGGAGGTGGACGGGCGTTTCGCAGTGGGCGTCGTGGGTCGGGGAAGGGGAGGGCTCCCAGCTGGGCTACGTGCCCGAATGCTGGTGCGCGGCCAGGGCCGGCGCTGCTCTGCAGAGTGCGTGCTGGGTTCGGTGCGAGAAAGTGTTGGTGATTTTTCTGTGCGAAGGGCTTTGGGCCGTCCCGAACTGCCCCGCGTGCTGTGCTGTACACATCTTACGGGTCCTTTGCAGGCCTCGTTTGGCTGTTCAATCTATGCGAAGCCCTTTTGGCTTTGCCTAGCAAGAGGGTCTGGACGGAGATGGCTCGCTAAGCCAAGCCAAGCGGGGGCACTCGATGGATCGCGGTAATTCAGAGCCTCTGCAGAGTACGGGGTAAGGTTCAGAAGTCCATCACCTGTGAATGGCAGTGCGACCAAGGTTGTGCAGAGGTCTGGGGCATCCGACGCCGTCACAGCTCGACGGAGAGTGTTTTCGGTTACACTTTTCGTGCGAAGCTTGCCACCCTTCTCGGAGACGTCACGATCACTGTGCTGCTCGACGTGGTCAAGTGTTTCGAGATGACTCATCCAGCCCGGCTCATCGTTGAGGCGGCAGCGCGCAACTGCCCCCCGAGGCCGGTTTGGATGCCCACGCCGACCTGTGGCGACAGCCGCGACGGCTGCGAGCACGCGGCAGCTTGTCGCCGCCATCCGAGGCTTTGTCAATGCATCTTGGCTGGCTGCCGTAGCCATGCCGCTGGCATGCACTTCCTGCCATCATAGCGGGCGCTCGAGCGCCCGGGTCAACTTTCTCCGCGCATCGCGCCGCGCGCGCGCCGGTGGGCGACGTGCCGCTTCAGCCTGCAGCCGCCACCCTCGTCTTGGCTCTCTCCACTTGCGAAGGCAGCGGGGGGGTGCACCGCGGACCTGGGTCAGGGATTGTTGCCAGCGCCGCCACGGGAGGCATCGCGTTTAAACGAGGTGCTGAGCAGTCGGGGTTAAAGCGACCATGGGCGAGAAGTCTCGGACATGAGCTCGCGGGGTCTACGGCTCCCAGGTTGCAGGAGGAAGCACGCCTCAAGACCATAGGCATCAGGAAGCGCAAGTACATGACGCTGCGTGGCGCCGCGGGGCGCGCGCCTCCTTTGTCGCGGCGTGCTGGCGCTCTCCTTCTGCCGGCCACGGTGGGCCTGTTGCCAGGCCACCGACGTTGCGCCCCGCCAGTTGAGGCACGTGGCTTCGACGCTGGCTGACGGGAGAAGGCGCGGGGGAGTCACAGTGTATTTTCTGGCCCATCGCGACCCTTACGACGACCCCGTTTTCGATTGCAGGTTCGGAGCAACGGTCAGATGTGCCACCTGGATCTGGGACAACAGAGTCAGCCTGCGACGGGCCCAGGGGCTTTGGATCGTGCGTAAGATTTTCGTGCATAGCCCAACGTGGCGGATCATCAAGGGGCCGTTATTGGCGTGGTCTATGGGAAGCGCGCGTATATATTATCATATACTGGCCAGCGGAGTGTCCTCCTCACCATGCGCCCTGCTGCTGCCAAACTGGATACAATCGAAGGAATACAGCGGTGGCAGCAGCGACGGCTGCTATCGCAGACGTGGGCGTCTACGGAAAAGGAACAGGTCTGGCCTCGGGCCTCGAGCGGAGGTGTCACAACTGCCAGGTGCCCACAGACGTCGGGGGCTGCTCTCGGCCGCACGGGCCGACGCTATCCTTCCCCCGGCAGCTCGTGCGGCGCAGCTTTGCGACGCCGGCCCGCATTGCCGCGCATGCCTCGCCCCCCGTGGGCTCCCGCGGGCACGCGCTGCACCGCTGCGACAGTCGCATCGCTGGCGGCGCGGGCGCGCC